TGATCCGAAACAACCTGTCACTATTGAGCAATACTAATGAGGCACTTTCCAGGACAATAAAGAGCCTACATATATATCCTTTATTGTGCGCGAATTGTATAACTATCATGGAGCAAAGACGATTTATTGTCCACCTAGATCCTGGAATAGGTGTTGGACCAGCTAGAGAGCATGGGATATCAGAGGAAACAATACAAATCAATGGGGGTGTTGAGGACAAATTTGAAGAATGGTTTGAACTGCATGCCAAAACACGTTTTACAACCAGCTTGACTCTCAAGAAGAGGGGGGAATTAAATGATAATGTGTGTGTGGGGGGGAAGACCGTCTCGTAGCGAACTGCATATAGGTTGAACAATAGAAGATTCGAGCAATAAATGTAAATGAACGCTGTATTTGGCTAGTAAATGAGGCACCAAAAACGAGCTTATTTGCCAAATTGACTTCTTAAATATAAATGAACCAAACTACTGGAGCGCAATGTAAAGTTCATAGTCCGTCGGATAATCGCATTGCTTGCAATCCTAAGGTATCTGGGTGTGCGAAATAATAGAATGAGCAACTGAATGCTGTTGTGCTTTTGCAGATTGAAAAATCCATTATTTAAAAATAATTATATTTTTAAATGTTACCATCTTGAGTAAAGATTTCACACCAAACTATCTAAATCGCCAACATTGTTATTCTCACAACCATTTGATTCAAGTTCATACATTAAACATAATTCTAATTTTCGACCTTGAATCAGCTGAGTGTTTCCGTTTGCCAGTTTAGATATCACCCACTTGATAAAACGTTCCGGTAAAACCGACAGGGAAAAATGACGGCTAGATGGTGGATGAAATTAGCTAGAAGTCTAATGGATACTGTTCGCACCATGGGTGTAAACAGGTAAGTTCCATGACATAGGAGGTCTAACCACTAACTATCGAACACTGAAATTTCTTTGGTCAATTTTTAATTCCCGATCGGTCAAAAATAATCAAAACTTAATCATTTTCTATGTATATGATCGGAAAACATAGTTTTGAAGAATTTCGAATGATATGACGGGACATAGAAAGTATTTTGGTGATAGACTTTTGAAACACAGGGTTTCTCAACCATCGAAACAAAACTCTGCAAAACACTAACGACAGCTGAAGGATATTTGGATGAGCTAAAATTGAATTATTTGTACTGTTAAACTGAACACTCAATTAGTTACTGACTAAGGTGTTCTAATATTTGATACACAACTATATGAAAGACTCCAACAGTGATCCACTGTCATTAACAAGTGGGGTATAGTTACGGATCTTATGGTCTCTATGGTTAATGCACCCCCTACAACCCCAACACCACAAACAACAAAAACAGCACCATCGCTCAGGACATCTTCTTATTCAGGTCTTTAGAAGACTTTGATTGATCAAAGCCCCATTAGTGAACATTGACTGCACATTGCATTGGAATAGTAAGGCAATTAAGGGGTTTGTATTATCCGTAAACTGCATTCCCTTTAGCTCCAGATCATCGCCCACAAAACTGGTACCTATCGCTAAAGTGATTACTTAGCACAACACTTACACAGTTTGGTTAAGCTAAGCCAGATCAGCTACTGGGTCACCTTGTGGTTAATCTGTGTGAGTTGGAAGCTTTAACGTTCTCCGAGAAATTCGTACCGCTATGAAATACTTTGTACAATGCATGAAAGGTTTGACGAGTCCCTTTAGTCTGATTTATTATAATTGATTTGATGAACTAAGTCCCTTTGTTCTCTTTGACGACCTGGATTTTATGCAACACTGGTTTGTATCGCCATCCATTTTAGTAAGTAATCTTCGCCAATCAACGAGCGTACCTATTTTAATCAAAGTTTCGCAAGCTTTTAATTCGGTATTTTGGTCAAAAGTGCTTTCGCCGACCACATGAATGCGGTCCACGAGGAAGAGAAATGAGTACTGGTTAACCATGCGTGTTGAGGAACATGAGTTCACAATCGGAGTCCAGCACACAAATTAATGGCTGCATTGATTATATCGTCAAGTAGACCTGCTGCACACGGAACAGGAGAATCCGCGTGGAAATGAATTCATGATGGAGGCGTTCGGAATCTGGAACAAATATTGGTATGTGCATGTATGTGAATGAAATCATCGATAAATGTTTCAACAAAAAAGACGAGCTTGAAGTTGTGGGTTCTATAAATCCGAACAGTGTGTATAAATCTAATTAACATGCTTTGGCTTTCCGATTTGTGGAACAAATAAAGCCGCAATTAAACTTGAGATGTCAAAGTCAAAGTCAAAGTTTTATTATGGGAATAGCTTACAAGCTGGTGCTTCTCTTGTCCCATAGGATGTTTACATAGATGAATCGTTACACATCAAAAAAGGAGTCACATAGGGATCCGAGTAGGAGATAGAGAATGTAGGCTACAGTGAATACCGTTTGCCTTTAGTGTACGAATGTGAGGTGTGCCAAGATTTTGTCGAGTCTCTGCTTGAAAGATTCAATAGTGGGTGCACAAACGACATGAGATGGAAGGGCATTCCAAGATTTGCATGTATCCTCATCGATAATGATACTGGCTATTGTGATGGAAGGCCGTACAAAGAGGGTCCTGGCTAGCGACCGAATCAAGAATGGGGCTCAGCCGACCAAATCGCTCGAGACAAAATCACCTACTTGGGTCACATTGTCGGCGGAGGTAAAATTAAACCGTTGCCCGAGAAGGCTGAAGCGATTCGAAATTTTTCTCCTCCATAATCCAAACGCCAATTGCGGTCGTTT